TACCGCATTCCCTCAGGGGCACCTGGTACCCTGCTCATCTCATAACAGATACTATATTTTTTATGGGATAACTTATATAATGTACATAATATGTATAGAAAAAAACTAGAAGGAAAAATGCTAAAATATTAGCAATGGTGGTCACTTTCTGGGTGGTAGTTATTTTCTTCTGCTGTACATTTTATAACTTTGCCAAAACTAAGCACATTTTTACTTTATGATTGGAAAAAAAGATTAAAATGCATAACATTATAGCAATATTAGAGAAAGTTTGGAAAGTAATGAAAATAAAGCAAGGCATAAAACTCTATTTTCTTAACACATTAGGCTTTTTTTCAGGAATGCTTTTTACATAATTCTGTGTTTATTTTTTGTTTAACGTGGTCTCCTAAGCACATTTTCCATGCCATAGTTGTCTTTGGTCCAGTTCTTTTCATTGACAATCATGGACCTGTTGGGGGTGGTGGGTGGTGCAGTTCATGCACCGTATAAGGTGCTCAGCTCTGGAGCAGGTACAGGCTCAAGTCCCCCCTGAGCCCTGCCGTATACTATGCACCTCTTGGGAGGGGCACTTTTTCTGACTCACCCGAAGGCAGCCTGCACATCTATACACAAACCTTAGGCAAGCTCAGCATGCCCTGTATTAGCACAAAGGCCCAAGGTGGCTATTGCTGTTGAGTCAGGCACTGAGAGATCTGTCCTGGGGGTGAGGCTAGATTCACCATTTGGGGCCAGATCGTGGGAGGCCCCATTTGGTGTCCGAGTATAGACACAGAGCTGCTGCTGCAGATCACTATCCTCTCTGGGGTGGAGAAACAGTCAGAGGCCCGGGTCTCACCTACCCCCTGCCCCTCTGCTCCCCAGGATGCCTTCCGAGCCTTCCACACCAACCTTGATTTTGTGCGCAAGTTCATGAAGCCCCTGCTGATTGGCGAGCTGGCCCCAGAGGAGCCCAGCCAGGACCGCGGCAAGAATGTGAGTGGGCTTGTAGCCTGGGGTCGGGGACGAGGCTGTAGGGTGGTGGTGGGGGTCCTGGAGAGGCCAGAGTGGCTGGTGCTGGGGCAGGGGCGCCATTGTGCCGGTCCAGGAGGAGCCACTGCGGATCACCTGGGGTCAGAGAGGACTTCAGGGCCTCTGCTGGGAGCCAGGGCTTGGTGATAACTAGGGCATTCCCTCTCTCCTGGCTGGTTTCATTTTCTTTCTCCTCCTTCCTGTCTTTCCAGAAAGGTATTAGATGCTGGTCCTGTTGTGACAATCTAGGAGAAAGTGCAGAAACCATAAACAAGAGAGTATCAGATAATGAGAAATGTGGCTACTTTGGGGTGCAGAGTCAGGGAGCACCGCTTTGAGAAGAACGACCATCACTGAGTCGTTGGTCCACCATCTACAATGGCCAGACACCCTGCTAGGCACTGGGCTTCGAGGACGTGTGGGCCTCTTGGGGCTGTCTTGTTCAACAGTGAAGCAATAAGCGACAGAGCAGTGTACAGTATGCTTCAGAGGTTCTCCAGCACTCTCCCTCACTGGTCCCTGCCCCCCGCAATTCCAGCAATCCCCTGCCGGAATTGCCCTTCCTGGGGAGTCCCTGCCATGACCCAGGGCTGAGGCTGGCACCAAGGAAATCCCGCTTTCCCTTCGCTGCCAGGCAGGGCCCTGGAGTCCATGTGGGGCCTTGGTGCCCGCTGGGGGGCGGGGCTGATTTACGCACTCTGCCCTTAGGCCGCCACAGCCCCTGCTTGTGCTATGGCACCTTCTGAGCTTCCCACCTCTCAGCCCTGTCCAGGACGGAGACATTCCCTGGGGATGCCGGACCCTGGCTCCAAGAGCCCTTCCTCCTCTTACTGCCAGCCTGGGCTGGCCCCTCCACCTTGGAGTAATTTGTTCCCAGCCTCTCCACCTCGGGGGCCTCAGTGGAGCCTGGCCGGGCACAGAGTCTTTCCTGCCCTGGGCTCTCAGCCACTCTCCCCACCATTGTGTTTGGCCTTCCCAAGGAGATGCAGGCCATCCCAGAGTCCTCCAGAGGCCAGTCCTGTCCCCTTTCCTTTGCATCTCCTCTGGCATTTTCCTTCAGGGTGCATGAGAGATGTCTTCACTGCTTGCCCATGCTGGCTGACCTCGGGTCCCCTCCTGCCTCCTTTGCACATGGCCCTATCTTGGTCCCTCGCAGCTCCTCCCAGGCCTGCAGCTCTCTCTCTGCTGCGTCCTATGGCTCCCTCCTCCCTGGCCTTGCTTCTCCAGCTCCCGCAGCTTCTCCCCTTTCTGCTGCCTTCCTGGGACAGCCACTCTTCACAGTCTGCACCACCTCTCCCCAGGCCTACACATCAGCTTCCTCTACTGCATGCCACCAAAACCACCCTGTGGTGCTTGCTGGTTATGTCTAGCGGTACCTTCAGCGTCCTCAGCTCCACCTTCCTCTCCCTCCTGCCTCTTGTCCCATCACCCTCTTTCTCCCAGCGAGGCCATGGCTTTCCCGGAACCACCCCTGACTCCACCGCCACCTCCCTGGCTCCCGTGCCCAGGCTCACCCGGTCCTGCCTGCCTCCTCAGCTCTCCAGGGTCAGGGACCTGTCCTGCACTGGGTTGGGTCATCCCCACCTCAACCCTCAATAAAGTGCCCAGAACAAGTGGCACAGAGTCGGGTTATGAAAAATGCAAGCTTCCTTTTTTTAAAGTGTGGTAAAATATACTATACATAATGTAACATTTACCACTTCACCATATACAAGTGTACAATTCAGTGGCATTGGGGTTATGAAAAATGCAAGCTTCCTTTTTTTAAAGTGTGGTAAAATGTACTATACATAATGTAACATTTACCACTTCACCATATACAAGTGTACAATTCAGTGGCATTGAGAACGTTCACGATGCTGTGTGGCCATCGTTTCGGTCTAGCTCCAGAGCTTTTTCATCATCCCCCAGACTAAAGTTGTTAAGCAATTACCCCAGTTCCCCCTCCCCCAGCCCTGGCAACCACCACTTTACTCTCTTTCCATGAATCTGACTACTCTAGGGACTCCTATAAGTGAATCATACTGTATTTGTCCTTTTGTGTCCGGCCTATTTCACTTAGCACAATGTCCTCAAGGTTCATCCATGCCATAGCATGTGTCCCTTTTAAGGCTGAATAACATTCCACTGTCTGTGTAGACCACATTGTGTTTAGCCATTCCTCCACCAATGGCCAATTGCCTTGTCTCTACCTTTTACCTATATGAATAGAGCTGCTATGAACATAGGTGTACAAAATGCAAGCTTTTGAGTCGAATCTTCCCTGTGCCACTTAACTAGCAGTAGACAGATACACAGTCCCCAGGGCTGTGCCAGGCACACAGCTGGCACAGTACTGGCAGCTGTTGTAGTGCATGGTGGCTGGGCTCCTGCATGCTGGGCTTGTGGATTGGTCCCCTCCAGCCGTAGCTTCTCGGGGCTGTGCGGTGGGTGTTGAGAAGGCTGACCAAGACGTCAGTCCCCTCCAGAGGGGCTGGGTGGCTGACTCCCTTCCTTGTGCACTTGCTCCATAGTCTCAGATCATCGAGGACTTCCGGGCCCTGAAGAAGACTGCTGAGGACATGAACCTGTTCAAAACCAACCACCTGTTCTTCCTCCTCCTCCTGGCCCACATCATCGCCATGGAGAGCATTGCGTGGTTCACCATCTTTTACTTTGGCAATGGCTGGATTCCTACTGTCATCACAGCCTTTGTCCTTGCTACCTCTCAGGTGAGGCATGACACCCTCACTTGTCACTTGAAGCCCCACCCCACCCCCAGAGGCTTGGTGCCCATTTGCTGACGCTGTGGTCCTCTCTCCCCAGGCCCAAGCCGGATGGCTGCAGCACGATTATGGCCACCTTTCTGTCTACAAAAAGTCCACGTGGAACCACATTGTCCACAAGTTCATCATTGGCCACTTAAAGGTAAATGTCAGCAGCCATGCATGTCTATCCTATTGGTTAGCGGTTGACGCAGTGCCATCGCTTTACTCTGAGACCAGGACCTCTCCCTGGCCAGTGCTTCAAGGCTGCAGGGTAAGCAGGCAGCTCTGCCGATGAGCAGGTCCTTCTGCTAGCAGGGGCTGTGCTCAGGACATGCTGATTCTCCATTTCTGTGACTTCCTTAGCCCTGTCTCTGTGTCAAGTCAGACCTGCAAAACCACCATGTGCTTGTTATAAACACAGGCTCACACCTTTTGTGCCCTATTGGCTCAGTTGACGGGATTGTCTGATGCTTCGTAGCTAGACTTAACTAGTAAATTCCTTTTAGTTTGGGCCCACTAGAGCATTTCCTGATGAATCGGGCTGCTGCCTCTCACTGGGGATGGGAGCTATTTAATATGTCACTCTTTTTTCTTTGGGTGCCAGGAAACACAAAGCACCTTGGACAGCAGCCGTTCCTCATCTGTGATTTTGTGTATGCATCCTCCCCTTACTCACGTGTCACCTATGCTTTTATCTTTATCTTCATCTTTCTATTATATATGGGTCTTTTATTATAAACCATCTCAAAGACTCTTTGGAAATATGTGGGGTAGATAACGTCATCATGTCAGTCCTTAGTCCTTAGTTACATAAGGGACATCACACTACGCAATGATCGAGTGAGCCAAAGTTGTTCACACACAGAAGGTGAAGTAGGTCTGGGTAGGTCTGCTTTCACGTCCTTCTAGATGGGAAGGTGAACATAAGCTCAACAAGTTTCTAACTTAGCAAGTTGGACTTGCCAGTGACCTTGTGCTGATGGGATAGGCATTATCTGCCTGGTTTTGGAAATAAGTCTTGCCAACTGTCTCTCTGAAACAGAC